TCCTGGTATCAAAGTTAGGCTGACTGGTGTATAATTTCCTGAGTTCCCTTTGTTCCTCATTTTAAAGATGGATACTATATTTTCCCTTCTCCAGTCCTCTGGGACCACGCTTGTCCTCCATGAGTTCCCCAAGATAATTGCTAATGGTTCCGAGATTGCTTCAGCTAATTCCTTAAGTATCCTGGGATGAATTTCATCAGGCCCTGATGACTTGACTACATCTAAGTAATCTAAATATTCTTTAACCTCTTCTTTCCCTATTTTGGCTTGCACTCCTTTGTCCTTGTTGTTAATATTAATCGTGTTGAGTATCTGGTCACTATTAACCTTTTTAGTGAAGACTGAAGCAAAAAGGCATTAAACACCTCAGTCTTCATGTCAGTCATTAGCTCTCCTTCCCTGCTAAGTAGAGGATCTACTTTTTCCTTCATCTCTCTCTTGAACTTAATGTAATTAAATAACCTCTTCTTATTGCCTTTTATGCCCCTTGCTAAATGTAACTCATTTTGTGCATTTACCTTTCTGATTTTGTCCCTTTTATACTTGTGCTAGTCTTTTGTGCTCCTCCTTAGCAATTTGTCCATGTGTTTCTACTTTTTGTAGTATTACTTTTTGATTTTCAGGTCATTAAAGATCTCTGGATGGAGTCATGTTGGCTTCTTACTCTTTTTCCTATCTTTCTTTTGCATCTCGTGTTGTGTAATATCTCAGCAATTCAGAGCATCTGAGACCCTGGCTAACACAGGTGGGAGTTACTGGCAGTGTGTACTCAGAGAAGGGCTCTTATGTATGGGACTTGTGTGTCCCCATGGTTTAACACAGCATGAGACTGTTGACGTCAGGACATAGTTCAAATTCTGTCTGTTTTCCCAGGCTTTTGAGAAAGGGGAGGACTGAAAAAATGAGTCAGGGAAATTATTTTAAAAATGTATAATCTTACATAAATTTTAACCTATAATTTATAATGAAGACTGGAGGTCTTTTTAAAAATGTGCCCTGGCTCAACCAGAAGTATGGGGCTTGAAACTGGGTGAAATTCTATGGTATTATGGGAGAAGTCAGACTAGATGATCTAATCATCCCTTCTGGCTTTAAAATCTATGATTTTTACTGAGACTGAATAACTAAACATGTAAGCAGGAGTTAAGTAATGTATTTAATCAAATATGTCAATGTTTTAAATGTTACATAATCCAGGATATATGGCACATTTAATACAAATCTAAGTATTTAAATAAATACATCTCTAATTCTTCTCTTCCTAATGATAAGATTGTAAACTCTTTGGGCAGAGACCATGCATTCTTTTATGAGTGTAAAATACTTATCTCATGATGGCTGCTACTGGAGTCAAATAATAATAATAATTAATTCTTGGGATCATGATCTTTGTTGATAGACTAATGCTTAAAGCTAAGCCAAAACCTTATGCAGTGTTCCCTGGAGGAAAGTAGAGTATTCCAGTCAGGCCATCATTGTTCTTCTTTATGGCTACTCCATTTAATGAACACAATATCAAATTCAGGGATACAGGGTCTAAGTGGAACAATGATCCTTACTTGACACGATTGGTTAGCTGTTAAAAGGAATGGGTGCCTAGATATCTCCACTGACCACTAGGGTGGAAAACCAGGGACTACATGGCTACTTGGGAACTTGTTCAGCAGTAAGATTAGTGGGAAAGTGCATAAGAAAGTTGTGTAGGAGTATGTAGGCCCATTTAAGGGCCAGGGTGGAACTCATAAATAGAACAGCCTGGGGATAATGCAGAAGACTCCCCACTCTGTTCTAGTGGCCTGTTTAAACAGGAAGCAGAAGCTGAACAGGGTGGGAGGAGAATGGAAGCTGAACAGCCTGCAAAAGGGTGGTGAGATCTCTCCATCTCTAGAAGGCTAGCCTGACGAAGCACAGAGACTTTGTTTGGGAGCTCTAAACCCAGGTCCTGAGGTAATGGTCCGTGAACTGTTATTTCCAAGTGCTCCTTCCATTAAAGAAGACATACTTATTTTGACTAGTTTGTTTTGGCTTATTATTAATCTGATCTGTGCAAGATAATTTATTGGTGCCAAGCTGGGGGAAAGAAAGGTGAGGATCACCTTCAATGCCACTCCTGGGCACAGGGGAATGCATAGAATGGCCTGCCTGTTACAAGTATCTTCAGCCAGGGTGGGCAGACAGCATTTGTTCCTCATACTATTGTGTCCTTTGAGAAATATTTGCTCACCTTTTGATTACAGTTTGATGCAAACATATCTGCTTATAAGCAGTTGCCTCAAAAACTTTGCAGCTTGAAATCCATTCTGTGTACTATATGTCCTCTCTGCTTCTGTGTTCAGGTATCGTGGATATGAGAGGCTTGAATTAAAACTAAGCTGTTTGATTAGTCAGAGGCAGATTTCTATTATAAATTCTTCTTTCTTTGGTCCATCAAGAATACCATGTTGATTCAAGTTGTAGCAATTTTCAGGGGATGCAGAAATACACTCAGCTACAGATGAATGATGAACTCATGGCCCTTTATATCTCAGATGGTAACACTTATTTGTTTTCTGTTGTTATTGTTATTCATTTGTATTGCCCAACCAGGATTAAAATTCTATCATGCTATGTACAGTACGAACACCAGTACAGAAAATGACAGCCCCTGCCCTGAACAGCTTTCAAAGTAAGACAATTCTAGACAGTTGTCTGATGTGAATGTTCTCTGATTATGGGATTACATTAATACCTTTGAATCATAGCATTGTCACCAGAACTGTTAAGAACTTGGTGAAGACACACATGACTATTAATAGCCCATATGGGATGAATCAATAAGAACAGTGGTTTTGGAGATAAAAGATCACAGGAATCTTATGTACCATTGTCTTACAGAGATATCAACAAGATGAATGGATGTTATAAAAATTATTTACTGCTCCACCTGAAACTATTGATTTTTATGATCTTTGTTTGAAATCTTGCTCTTTCATGCAACAGTTAAATCTTTTAATGTACTGGATGGACTTGGAGATCTTCAGATTTCTAGAGCCCTGTGTGGATACAAAATTTGTGTCCTCATCCAAACTGCGATCCGCAAACATGGTCCCTGGATATAAAGCAGATATCCACAGATTTCCAGGGCTCTAGATATAACATTTGGATCCGCATCCATGGTCCCCGGATATCCAGAGGTTTACAGGGCTCTACAGATTTCTTCACAATGTGAAGAAAACTGAATATCGTTCAAAGTGGCTTTCTGTCTGTAGGATTCTTGTGATCGTCCATCTGTAAAATCTCAGGGCTATCTCTATCTTCATGGCTAGTTGCTTTGTGAGCTCTGTTTCATCGCTGCTTGGCCCCATTGTCCCTGCTGACTGTAGCTTATTTGAGGGGAAAGAGGCAGTCCTGGAGGCAGCTACATCTTAGCCTATTGAGAGCTTTGAAGATAATGACCAAGACCCTGAAGTGGATATGGAATTAGTTGAGGGGTGACAGTAGCCTATGAAGCACTAGTGTGATGCTCCCAGTGTCCTGTTTAGGGAGATAGAAGCCTTCATGAAGCCTTCACAATCAGCTCTATGTAGAGTGAGTCCACCCTTGCCAAGATAAAGGCATGAATAACTGTGGCTAGGTCTGCATCTGAGAGGAAAGAATGGCAGAAGATGGGAGAAGACACTTCGGGATGCTAGCTGATGAGTTTGGTAAGATTTTTAAGCTGTGCACCTCCTAGACAGTTGGAGGACACACCTTTTGACAAAGGGCTTCAATCAGTCCCTTAAAGTGTTCCTCTTTCCCATCAGTATCAACTCCACCCAATCAAGTTTCATTTTGAGCCAGCTGCACCTCATCCAGGAACTGTTTTTTCTTTCAGAGTCTAGTAGAGATGACAGATTTCAGAGTAGTAGCCGTGTTAGTCTGTATCCGCAAAAAGAAAAGGAGGATAAATTTGTTAGTCTCTAAGGTGCCACAAGTCCTCCTTTTTTTAGTAGAGAAGAGTAACTGCATTGTCTCTTTCTTAGCAAGTGCAGCTGTAATATTGAGAATTTAGTTAGACATATAGGAGGGAAGGCAGCACCAAAAGGTCAGGGACTGTTGCATGTGAGAGGTCTTGTGGAAAAGTGAACCTGGTGAGCCAGCACTTAGTGGTTAATTGTACAGAAGGCTCATGAGAGGTCTAGAAGTACTAGTGTTTGCCCTTTTCCATGGGTATAAGGAGATTATCTATCAATGCAACTAGTGCATCTCTGTGCCATATCTTGTTGTAGACATCTTACTTTTCAATTTATTCTTTGTTATTTGCATCAGAAATGTCACTTATGAATCAGATGCTATTTGCAGGATTCGTACCTTATTGTATGTCTTATACCCCTCACTTGGAGCCTTTGTGCGGAGGTTTGGAGGTTGAAGTGAATGGGGCAGGACAAAGTAAGTCACTGGAGGAAGCAAACAAGTAGCTATTAGAAAGGTTGGTTGACAAACCTTTATGCCTGACAAGCTGTAGCAGAGGAGCTGAGGTGCATTTGTACAGCTGCCCAAATTTGGCTAGTTCAGGTTTGAGAGAGAGGACCAGTGGTGCGGGGACACTTTTTATAGTGGGGGTGCTGAAGATGAACACCATATATGTGGGTTATTACTACGTCAACCCCGACGTGCCGGCAGCATCCCCAGCACCCCTAGTTCCAGCGCCTATGGCAGAGGACTGGGGGCAGTGGGAATCCCCGGTCTGTCCCTTTAAACCTGCAGCAGCAAGTTGGGCATGAACGGTGCTGGACACGTGAGTTGGTCTCCGTGTGCTCTAGCCTGCCTCTGCTTCCAATGCTGCTGTATTTCTAATGTTGTATCTGGCCCCGGTCCAGCCCCCGATCCTAGGGTTTTCGCCCTGCCTCCTACTCCTCCTCGATTTTTTTTTCACACAGCCCCCTCCTATTTTTTCCACCCACGGGCAAAGGTGTTTTTGTTTTTACTCATCCCAGTTTAATCCGTGGGCAGGACTCGCCTAATAATATTTCTAGCCCCAGCAGCTCACATCACACACACGACCACAGCTCTCGCTCGCTCGCTCTCCCTCTCTTTTTGTTTAAATGATCGCTCTTTCTCTGCCGCTCCCCAGCCCCCCATCTCCACAGTGTGCATGACTCCTGGCCGGAGGGCCGAGTCCCCCGTGCCTTTCCAATGTGTCTCCTCTTACTGGGTCCTGAGCCGGTCCCCGGGCGATAGCCACCGCTTGCTTCCCATTTTTGCAAGAAGATATTTCCCTCCCCCCCCCCACTTGGTTTGCTCCTGCTCTGCTTGCCGCGGTCCCCCCTCCTGGCATTTGTAGGGCTGCAATTCACCCTCTCTCCCTCCTTCCCCACCCCCCCTCTTGAACTGCTCCGCGTTACTAGCGATCCCTGTTCCCAAAGCGTACGGGAGAGAAGAGAGGAGAGTCCCCCCCCGCGCCGCCGCCGCCGCCACCACCACCACCACCACCACCACCGCTACCACCATCACCTCCTCCTCCTCCCCTTCTCTCCTTTTTGGCAGCACCAGGACGTCCGGTGTGTGGTGGTGGCAGCGGGCGGCGAGCGCTCGGGTTGAATCCCCCCCCCCACCCCCCTTAGCTCTCAAGGTGCTCGGAGCGATTGTTCCCGGCTGAGCAGCAGCGGCGGCGGCGGCAGGATGAGCACGCGAGGGGAAGGAGCCGGCCAGCCTTCCACTTCCACCGCTGCCCAGGAGCAACCTGCAGCCACAGCGCCTCAGAAGAGAGGACGGGGCAGACCCAGGAAGCAGCCACAAGTCAGTACCCGCTCCCTGCACGGAGCGCGCGCGCGAGAGGAGACGAGCGTGGCCAGGGACGGGCTCCCGCTGCCACGGGAGTCCCGGGGACCGGGCCGGGCGGCGGGGGTGAGGGGCTGCGGGGGGGGGGAGGCTTTGTTGCGCGCCCTTCCCGGCTGAGCGGCCCGCCGGCGGGGGGAAAGGCGCAGCGGCGGCCGGCGGCGCGGGGTGGGCTGCCGGGCAGAGGCGCTGGCTATTGTGCGCGGCGCGCTGCTGCTGGTGGCGGCGGCGGCGGCGGCGGCAGCGCTGTTCAATGGAAATGTGCGGCGCGGAGCCGGCCAACCAGCGCGCGCTGGGTCATCCCCGAGCCGAGTTTGAAATTGCGAGAGGGCGAAGGGACCGAGCTGCGCTGGCGCCCGCCTCTCGGAGCCTTTGCAAGCTCCGGGGCTGTGGGGGGTCGGGTCCCACCGCCGGCTGCTGCCGCCTCCGAGCTTGACCAGCCCAGCCCCTAGATCGTGGGGCTGGGGGGTGCGGCTGCAAAGTCTCTTGGCTTTTGGTCCCCCCACCCCACCCCACCCCCCTTCGTGTGCACGAAGGTGCCCCCCACTCCCGGCGGCGAGGGGGGAGGCTGCTGGAGGGGGGCAGCGCCGCAGTCACAACACCTTTTGCATTTCCGGAGCCCTTTGCCAGGCAGGTCGTTCTTCCACCTCCCGGGGGGGCTGTTCCGGGTTCTGGCTGCGGGCGGGGAGAGCCAGCGCTCCCCCCCTCGCCTTGCACCCCTGGTCAGTTTCAGGGACTCCAAAAAGGGCCCCTCTTCACTTGCAGGACCCGACTGGGGTTGACGCTTGCTCGACTTGTCCCCCCCCCCCTTCATTTCCTGCAGTGACATTGCCACTCTGCTTCCCCGAGTCCGGCTCTTTTCACCCCCTCTGAAGCGATGTATGCTGCGGGGATTTTGCCTGCGGATGCAACCAATTAAGCTTGCAGCTTTGCAGAGGCAGCACGGGGAAGCACCGAGCTGGAGGTTTTGTTTGCCATAATTCGCAGGCTTCGGAAGTACCGATTGGAAGTGTGTGGGGATTTCTAGTGAGCTCATTTAAACTGACTTCCGCGGGCTTTAAACATATTTACTCCATTCGTTAGTATCCCACCGCTTCCTTCAAAGCATGTCAGATGATTAGAAAATATTATGGGAGCTCTGAGGTGCAGAACATCCTCGAAAGCATTCCCCTAAACTGGGGGATATGCAGCTGCTCCTGCCCCTCCAGTGTGCTCCTGAAAAATGCACAGAAAATACTTATGGAAAATCACAAAACTGGAGCCCCACGTTTTCCCGCTCTGCCCTGTGACACTTATTCAGCTTTGCGATCTCAGCTTTATCCCCACAAACTCACTTTACACCTGGCTCCGACAACGTGGTCTTGCAACAAAACCAACCAGTAGCATTGGCTCTGCAAGTTTTGAGCATGGCTTTTTTTTTAGCATTTGAATGGCTCGGAGAGAAAGAAAACTGCATCTCCTAAAACGTGTTCGATCCAGATGTGCACCATGTCTCTGTGGCTTGCAACTGAGAATCGTATCATTTAGTCTCCTTTCCAGACTATCTAAATGTACCAGGGAATTTAAAATCTAAAGGGTTTTAGGATGGTTTAAGTTAACATACTGCATTTAATTAATTTTACCACATCCTGTAATCTGAATGAAATGTTCAATATTTAGAACTAGAAGAGTTTTATAGTATTTATGATTCACTGAATAAATATTTGGAATCCGAACTATTAGTCATTCATATCCATTTTAATGACTAGTTAATTTACTATCAAACACAGGGACCAGTTAAGAAAATTGCTAAAATAATCACTGTTCTTGTATAGATGTGTTAAACTTTTTTGTTACAGATATTTTATTTCCAAAAATATATATTGCATGCCAAAAATCTGTTGTGAAGAAATCTTTACATTTACATTTTAACAAAAGACAATTAAGTTTGGACAAATGCAAACTTCATAATAACAAAGGCAAATAAAAAAAATCTATTTGTGCCCTTAAGAGAAAACTGCAGATTACTTCCCAGTTTTTCAGTATTGAGCTTTTCCAAAAAATGTTTGTGATAGAAACTACATACCATAGTTGTATACTCTTATGATGAAACGTAAATGAAATGAGTAATTAATTTTGAAAAACCATCTTTCCACAAAATTCACAGTCACCATCCCTGTTAACAATTTGTGTTTTCTGGTATGTTTTACAGTTGTTAGAATATGCAAATTTTCATTATGTTCTTACATAATTACAATTTAAATGAAGTCTCCATTTAATATGCAAACTAGAGTTCTCTACTTCATTTTAAACTTTGTATCATTCATTTACACTTCATGTTTTTAGGTAGCTCTTCAGTTGTTGTTTATACTTAAGGTCTATTTGGGTAGTGTCTTGTGGAGATTCTTGCTACAATAGCATGTTTTCCTGTGTTTAGGAACCAGCTGGAGAACCATCTCCTAAAAGACCAAGAGGAAGACCAAGAGGAAGCAAAAACAAGAGTCCCTCTAAAGCAGCTCAGAAGGTGAGATTATGAGAGAGAGAGAGAGAGAGAGAGAGAGAGAGAGAGAGAGAGAGAGAGTTCTTAACAATTACTGTTAGTTTCATCAGTTACTTTCCAAATTATTCCAGTCATTCAGCCTTTGAACTGTAGAGTTTGAACCATTTTTAATAATGGAGGCCACATATTTTCCGCATTTTACCTTTGTAAGATCAGAGTTAACATTTGCTGCAGAAAGACCCTAACACAGAACATATGAGGTCAATTTAGTTTTTGTACAGTGCATACAATATGAAATAATATGACATATTTGAGATATAGATTGAGATCTTCTGCAGCTAGCATTGTGGTCTAGAAAGAAAATCAATATTATTAATTATTATTATTATTATTAATATTATTTTCCAGTTTAAGATTTAAAAAGTCTTCTGTGCATAAAAATGAAAATTCATTTCCTGTACATTTATTTACATTACTACTTCAAACCAAATCTGTCTATTAAAGCTAAGTGCTTTGTCAAACATATGGTAATTAGAAGTAAATCCAATTATGTGTTGATAGAAATATTTCTTGAAATTTACAATTTTAAAATGTGATGGTAAAGTAAACTGCAAGTTACAGTAACAGTCTGCTATGTATTGTTTAGTAATCACTTTCAAAGAGGCTGTTTCTTGAAGCAATATTGGTCTTTTGAACCACTCCTACAATTTGGTGTTGCTAGCAGATACATACCATAGGGGTTCTGAATAGTTTAGCAATTGGACAGACCAGTCCAATGAAGACAATCCTTTTAGTTCATTGATTTTAAATTGCAAGTTCAACCTGAAAAACTAGCTTAATTTAAATTTGCCAATGCTGTGCATTATAAAATCTTGCTAACAAGGCTAATAATACATTTATATGTGACATTTTTTTGGTGAACATAAGAAGTAAATGGAAGTATGTAGTTTTGAAAATAAGTACAGGAGTGATGGTTCTGTGGAGGGTTCCACAGCAGTTAGCACTAATTTACGGGTACTAAGTTGAAAACAAAAGCTTACGAAATCTGGGAGTGAACTGTGGTGCTTAAGTGTATCAGTGTCATTTACTCTTTAGTAGTTATGTGGTAAAATGTGTTTTGGAAGATGGCTGTTGGCTCATCTAATTATGGTTAATTTTAAAATGTGGTTTACTTTGTGCCTGAGGGCACTGACCATGTTAAGTTTGATAGTTTTCAGTGTTATAAATTACCATAGCAACTAGTGATAAATATTAAGTTCTTTCATGTCTGTTTTAAATGTTTTGAACATTAGCTGAAGGAACATTTTTCTATAGTGTTTAAATTTCCAATTGTTTTTTAGTGTCTGAGCTGGGAAAAAACAGTATATTTAATCAATAAATGTATAAGTTGGTAAAAATTGTACTTTTTCGGTTAGATATTTAAAATGTACAAAAACCGCTTTGCTACTCTAATAAGTGTAGGTATTTAGGTTTTTTTCTTTGTATAGTTAAAAATCAGATTCAGTATTAAACAGTTTAAATTTAATTCTTCAAAAGAGAGAAAACAAATTTTTATTAGTTTGGAAAATTGAAATTTGAGATTAAATGTTTTGAATATTACTGTTGGAAGAGTAGACATTACTGTGTGTAATATTTCTAGCAAGAATAAAATTTTAAATTAATTCTTCATGGAATTTATATATTTATATATTTAAAAGATATTTCTAGTAGAAATATTAAAACCTGTTAATAAATCTGAGTGATTTAAAATAATCATAAATTAGAAAAGACTTTTTTATTATACAAAACTATATATTATGCAGTTTAGTTATGTTCAGATCATTTTGGTGCATGTAGTTCCTTTTTAGTCTGAATTAAGAACTGAACAAGTTAATAGCACCTTTTCAATTTTCAGAGTTCACCAAGTAACTACTGTAACTAAGGCAAACTCTACAGAATGTTATGTATAATAAAATTTGACCAAGGGGCACATGTCTTATTTACTATTAAAAAATCTTTGATGTTTCCTTAAATATAAGTCTGATGGGTTTTTGTTTTTTTTTAATTTTTGTGATGGAATGGTTGTTAAAATATGTATCTTGGGTAAGATGCACAAGTCTTTGTTAAATATTCCGAAGTGTAAAACAGTTGTAGAACTTTTAAAAATAAGTAAATCAATAAATAAAGTAAAAGCTTTGGGATCATGTTTCAACTAACAGTGTGTTGCCCTTTTTTAAAATAGATGTTGTAATATGACATTTGACACCTCAAAGTTTTTATTTTATACAATTTCTTTTCTGATAAATTTCCTCATAGTAAACCTGAATTGAAAAGTTTGCTCATTTAAAAACAAACAAAAACTCATGGTTCAGTTGTTGTTGGTATCACTTTTTAAAATAATGAATTACAGTTGTAACTTTCTGACATATATATTAATTGAAGGGCCTCTATATCCTTTTCCAGTTCTCAAAGCCTTGCTTGTTAACATTGCTAAGACCCTATACATGTAAACTTGGTTGCTGTACATGCAGTTGAAAATTGCTGGAATTTCTATAGAATAGTGTGTGGCCTATGGTTTTCAAAGTGAACTCATTGAAATGTACTATTGTGTTCACAACATGTAAGATAAACGTACACCACTAGAACCCACAGAGCAGACGTGAGAAGGCACTCATGATTAATTGATCCGGTGTTCTCTTGCAGATCATTACACATAACAATTAAAAATGTATTACACAAACTGTCAGGGAGCTAAAAATACTCAGACAAGTATTGGAGCTTTGTTTTGTTATACTTTAAAAAGTAAATACCCTTAAATCAGTTGAGGCACCATTTTCCGTGTGATCATGATTCTGTGGTGTATTTAAAATTTCTTGGTGTATGGTTTTTTTTTTTTTTACTTGCAGAGCTTGTGTTTGGACTTAGTAAACTGGCCTTGGGGCATTTGAAAACAAACTGTGCTTGTTAGGAAATTAGCAATGTGAAACTTGACAATGCATGCAGAATGTTGCAAGACCAATTGGACAGCTAATAATGTAGTAATTACTCTAATTTCAGGTAATACACACATAAAAACTGACTTGCCTATAATACATATCTAGGCTTGGAAAGGTAGTTTTTTATCCGTAAATGTTTGTTGGTGAACGTTGATTTCACTGTTCACACAAAAATCAATGAAAAATATTTCCATCAATAATAATCAAAATGTATATATAGGCAAAGTAAGAAAAATGCTGCTTGATAACTGGAGTTTGATTTAAGGATATTTAATTTGCATAATTTGATGTGATCACAATTTGTGTTTGAACGGTCATAAAGCTTTATCTTTTTTAATCTCAATGTCTGCTGTCATTAAATAATTATTGTCTGACCCTCTCATAATTTCCTACAACCGAGAAAGTTTAAATTGATACAATTTTTTAAAAAAGGCTTAAAACCCATGATTTTGTGCAAAATAAAAAAGGCTTAGAAACAAACCAATATCAGTCAAAATTATATAAAAATAGAATTTTACCAAGTTTATACATATTTATTACATATATTTATTAGATGAATACATCAGGTAAGCCTGCAATTTACAAAAAAACACCCCATCCTCTCAGTCGCTTTAATTTTCCACCAACAGTGAATGTGAATAACATATTAACAGATGACAAGTAGGAGACAGACACAAAAGGACTCTAATCACATTGTATTAGAGTGTTCAGAATTACTCTATCATTGGAGCTTATGTCTCTGAACAAGACCTGCTGTCATTCATTTAAACCAAAATTGGAGAATAAATGGAGGACTTCTCTTTTCTAAGGATTATATGTTTGACTTTGCAAAAAGGACAACATATTGACATCCCTCCATTATCTTCTTGGTTGCTCCATACCTATGTTTTATTTGTTAGACTGAGGTAGCACTGTTACCAGTACATCTCCATTTCCCTTATGCATTCAGGGCTTTTCTTTGTTTAAAGAACTATATTTGTGCTTGATAAAATTTCCCATATTTGGAATGAAGAAACGCGCTTTTGGAGTAAAACAATAGAAATAGTTGCTTTGTGCCATAACAGAAAACTTCAGAAATCCCAAGAAGTGCTCTTATGTCAAATTTACCTTCAATTTAAAAGTTTAGGTCCAGCTCAATAAAATAGAGTCATTTATTTTTCATTAGAATGAAATTAAATAACTCAAAAACATGAGTTGGAAAATGCACACTTTGCAAACAAAAGTTAGTGGTACTATTTGTATCTACACTTTGTCATATGCCTTCTATGAAGAGAGGTTTGTGTCTCTAAATTAAATAGTCGGGTGAAATCCTGGCCCTGTTTAAATCAGTGAGAGTTTTGCCACTGACTTCTTTGGGGCCATGATGTCACCCTAAGTTGGTTGATGAAAATCTAGTTGCCTTATGAGGAAAGGTTAAAAAAACTGGGCATGTTTAGCCTTGAGAACAGAAGATGGGGGGAGGGATAACCTGTTAACAGTCTTCAAATATATTGAAGGGCTCTTGTAAAGAGAACTGTGATCAATTGTTCTTCATGTCCACTGAAGGTAGGACAAGAAATAAGGGGCTTAATCTGGAGCATGGGAGATTTAGAGTAGATGTTAGGAAAAACTTTCTAACTGTAAGGGTGGTTAAGCTCTGGAGTAGCCTTCCAAGGGAGTTTGTGGAATCTGTATCACTGGAGGTTGTTAAGGACAGGTTAGACAAACCTGTCTGGGATGGTCTAGGTTTACTTGGTCCTGCCTCAGTGCAGGGGATTGGACTGGATGACTTCTTGAGGTCCCCTCCAGCCCTGCATTTATATGATTCTATATGATATATATTGTATATCTATATGAGGTCATTGCACCTAAAACATGGAGACTTCAGGCACTGAGATGTTTTCAGTAAGATGTGTCAGGCAGGACAACCTGTTTGGCGGTAAACTGGATAAATATGACATGGAAGCTGTAACAAGATTAGTCTGTTCAGTACTTCAGAGTCCTTTTATTATGGTTTTTAACAAAGTGACTTTAGTAGAGGGACACTTAATTGTGCAAGTTCTCTTGACTAGGTTTGACAACAGTGATCTTTGTTGAGAGAGCTATCAATTACTCCAGCTAACCTATGCCTCTGACACATTTTATCTTGACATCTCAACAGATCATTTTGCAAAACAGAGTTCACAAGATATGGATTCTGTTGCATTTGTGTTTCTGCTTGACAATATATGGATGCCCGAAGAACACTTTATATCCATTCAATTATTTACACTCATCTTGTCTTGTTAATTGCCTTCAACTGTACAGTTTCAGTTTCTGCTTGGCATTGCCTACCCATAGACCAAGGAGGCACTGGTGGTGGGAAAGTCACACTCCATTTTTGCTGAGCCCCATACAGTGTGAGGTTATGAAGCAGCTTCAAGTTGCCTTGTGCTACCAAAGCTTAGATGAATTGCAGACCTTTCCATTGACTCTTAACTGTCTTTAATATGAAAAGGATTGAAATGGCAATTGTGATACATGAAAAATACCATTTTCTCAGACATGTTTTGTGCTCTAAAAGCTATTTAATTCAGTTCCACTCCCAAAATGTTTTATCACAGCAATTAATTGGTTATAATATTGCACATAAAAGTGTGTTAATTTTTAAAAAAGAAAAACACCCTTAAACTGCATATATGCTAACCTTCCCTCCCCTTGCTCAGCCCTTCTCTGTTTTATGTTCAGTGTTAAATGTTGTTGTATTATGTTATATAGAGCAAAGTCATGTCTCAGCATGTTGTGTCTTGTGCTGAGATATAACCCAACACAACACACCTTACTCTACATTGCATCAGAGGATTAAAAAGAAACAGCTTCCTTTGATTAAGCAGATATAAACTGCAGTGCGTAGCTGAGATCACTTGCAAGCTGCCGTCTAAATAATACTGTTTGTTATGTTTGGGAGGTTTGGTGTTCTCTCTAGATTTGTTCCTTACTCCAGACACAACAGTGTAATGAAAGCAAACAGCTAGCAGAGTAGTTAGATATTGCTCTAAATACAGTATCTATTCAAAAGGCAAAGTAGTGCTGTTGGGTTGATGTGTTTAACTTCTTGTTAATTAAATTTTACATTATTCCGCACAATTTAATTTATTTGACAGGATCACTGCTAAATAACTAGTCATGACACCAGGTATTTATATTAAGTGACAATACTGTGCTCCCAGAGTAAACTTGTGCTTTATTTGTCAAAATATTAATATTAATAATAATTATCCAAGTGAAAAAATTGAACTATGTTTCCTAGATTCCTTGTCTTTACTATCATATTTTTATCATTATTTTCCTTCTTGTTTGTTCAAGAAGTGTTTTGTCTTTGCCTTTTAGAGTAGAGATAAAATGTCCATTATGGAAGTCTTTGTCATTCATCTTCTGCAGTTTAGTCTATGGAAACCTTCCTGTTGCTTACAGCATCTTTCTGTACCAAAACATAATGAATTGGAATGCACTGCTGTTTTCCCAGCTCACCTCTGGGAAAGATTTGGTTTTGATAAGACCTATGGAAATGTTTTTCTTCTGACATGAGGTGGAAATCATATACAGCAGTAACGTAGTGCCTTTCATTACAAAGGGTCCCGAAGCACTTTACAAACTGATATACAAACTATACACAGGGAACACTATTCACTACTGAAACGTAGCCACCTCTGGGGTGAAACAGATTGTTAACAGCACTCAGCCACACTGCATGACACTTTAGGACTGGAAATGAAGATTGATTATTCAAAGAAATCTGCATGTACTCTTTCCAGTCAAGCTACTTTATATAGTCTATGTCAATTTACTGGGATTTTTTAAGTTTGATTTCAAGACCAGGTTTGCTGTAGATCTGAACAAGTTCATGTTCATTTTTTTAAGGACATTGGCAGCATGATCTTATTTTTAAGAGGGGGATTTAAAAAAAGGAGGGGGATTGTTGGTCCTTTACTAAGATGTAAAGTGTTGATTTAGAACATTTTAAACTGATCCTTTCTTAAAAATTAATGCCTCAGATAGTTCAAACAATAACTATGTGTCTATTGGACATCATATACTAAAATTAATTTCTGTTTGCACTGTCTAGGTTATAAGGACATAATAATGAAGGGTTTGAAGGGAAACAAAAACCTCTTAAATAGCTAGAGAATACAGCAAATGTACTTCTTTAAAAAGTATTCTCATAAGAGGGTTTCACCTTACATGTAACACTGGTATAAACTGTTAAAGAGCAAGTTTACTCTTTTAACAAGTCTAAGTGATAATTTTGCCCTTTAGGAATGTGAATTTTATTTTTCACACATTTCTTCTTGCTGAGATTTATTTCAAGGTCATTTTACTGCACTTATAGTGTAGGGTTTATAGGGATTGGCCCCAGTACTTTCCCAGCTCTTTTTGTGGGATTCATTTTACATGACAAGGCATTATGCACATTTTACAGAGATATACCAATAAGTGATTTATGTAATGAGACAATTGACTCCTGAGGGGAAAGTCAAACACACAAACTGCTGTGAAGAAGCAATATATGAAAACACGTATGCACCAGGTATTCAAAAAACCTTGATTCTAAGGAATGATTATGCACATAGCGTGAAATCCTGGCCCCATAGAAGGGAGTTTTGCCATTGACTTGAGTTGGGCAAGGATTTCACCTGTAGTTCACCTACCTAACTACCATTATTATTAATCAGATATTGACATATGTATGGTGGACATACTTTGTCTGTAAATAACAACATTTTATATGTAATTTTTTTATCCAAGGATTTCAAAGTTGCATTACAAAACTGGGTAAGTATATTTATCCCACAATCACCAAGCAAACTAATGACAGAGTCCTGAATAGAATCTGTGTTTTCTCTGTTTGAACTCTTTGCAGTAATTGCTAGGCCTTGCTTACATATTCTTTACATATTCTTACACGTCCTTTAAACTCTGAACATACCTTTCACCATTCCAAAATATGCCTTCATTTTAAGGGTTGAAGCAAATTCAACAGTAGGTGACCTAGAAATGGCACCTACTGTTGAAATTACTTCAACCCTTAAAATGAAAGCATATTTTGGAATGGTGAATGATATGTTCAGAGTTTAAAGGATGTGTTTGCACCTGAAAAGGAAAATGTTACTCAGAATCAGGAAAGTATCATTAAGTAGAAATACACACATGTTCAAGACGATATTCTTTGTCAAACATGCTGGTTTGCTTTCTGAACATTATCAATAGAGAAAAAACAGGCAGACTATTGCGAATAGTCCATCAGTTTTAAAGAAGTTTCCTTCCTTCTTGAAACAAACTATTCTTTTTACCCCACAAGAGGGGATTTTAGTATCTTTAAGTCTATGCTATGAAATGTTAGAAAAAGGAATCTCAAGATTCAAGCCATAGGGGAGAGAGAGAGAGACTTAATGACACCCATCTAATCAGTAGATACATAATTATGGATCATATTACAAGAAATATGTTCCCAGTTACCAGCACTGCTAAATAATGTTGGCTTATAAAATATGTTGTTTTTTCACTTTACAGAAAGCAGAAGCCACTGGAGAAAAACGACCCAGAGGCCGACCCAGAAAATGGGTAAGTATTCCATTTCCAACCATTTGATTTATTTTTCTGCTTTATAAAACATGTTTTAATGCCATTCTTTAGAAAAAGACCATTTCTATTTCATTTTTTTAAAAGAATGTCTCATTTCTTTCAGTTCTGTTGGGTCAACGAAAGGGTTAAGGCAGCAGACACGTTATCTCAGCTTCCTACCTTTAGACTCTGATAGTTTGCTCAAGACACTTTACTGCTAAATGTTTTCTGGCATTGAATACTCATGTGTCTCTTATCAGCATGAAAAGAGTCTCAACTCTTCCTTCAAAAAAAAGAGTAACAATGAGATAACTTGTTCCGTAATTGAGTAACAAAGGTTAAAGGAGGTATTATCAGGCATCAGAAAGTGATTATGAAAGGTGATAAAATTCAAATGCAGTGTGTACAAGATAAAGTTAAAAAAACAAAACCTCTTTGTCTCTTTAGTAATGGTTCACAGTCCCTGGGAATCAGAGTACATTTTCCCCCCAAAATCCTTAAAAGGAACAAAAATAAATGTTGGGTAACTTGCACCAAATGTTTTCCCTGTCTGGGCCAGCTGTATACCTCACATAGAATAGGTGATTTGTTATATTTTTCATTTTTCTTGCTATTAAATTTTAAAATATTGCTCTTTCACACTGCTATTGGCTCCCTGGATGTTGATGTCAGAGACAAATGCATTTTTGGAAAGTGCCCTTGATCTTCTTGTCATACAGATTTCTGGTCGCTTGGAGTCTAGAAATTCAGTGTTCAGTTGTTGAGTACTTCTTGTATGCATCCTTTTTTACTTCTCTCCCTTTCAAAAAGAAAGTGATGAGAATGTCACCTGAAAAGCATCTATAGGTGTTAATGGGAGAAATTGAAGGTGTAACCATATGTTCCATAATAAATTCTCTATCTAGTTTTCCTTCTCCCATTACCTTTAACTTCTACACTTCTGTCCTCTATTTTTTTCTATACTTCTTTTTCCTACCTCATCTCTTCTTCATTCCTTTATTATGTTCCTTCTTCTCTTCCCTCATCTTCATGTTGTCATTTCCCCTCCATTAGCTCATCCTTTCCCTTTCCAATATATATTAAGACTGTTGTCAAGACATCCAGGCTTCCTAGAGCTAAAACAGCACCACCGGAAGCTTATAACTACAACTGACGTTCCCCAAAGTGTCAGCAGCTAAGCGCAAGAGAGGAGGGATGGCTGTAACATACACTATAAAAATAGTCCTATTGTGGTCCAGTGATAAAAGTGCCTGAGGATCTTCCTCTAATATTGTGGAGAAAATCAGACAGTCATATACAGTATATACTATACATGTCTACAGTATTTAGACTAGGCAAATTCTTTGTATACAGAGAAGAAGCCCATTGGCATTAGGAGATTAGATGGTTTATAAAAACTTACATGAATTGGTAACCTTCTCAAAGGTGGCTTGCATAAGACAAACACTAAATAGCTCAGTAAAACGTTTAGCGATTACTGTCAGTTTCCTTATAAGGTTGTCTAGAGTTTACTAGGGCCTGAGATTGTATATGTGGATGCTAACTGAACTTGTCTAATCCTCATATTGGGTGCAGTCCCCAGGGAGGCAAAATGAATGGCTGTTCTACAAGAATAATTTATAACATGCAAGCCATCTATATAGGTTTGGTATATGTGGTTGTAGGCAGAAGGTTGTTAACTCCGTGGGAATGGAAAGTGTCACAGTCTGTGGTGCTAAGAGGTGCACCATCCAAGGCATTGTATCTGGAGATTAAGAGGTTTCTTCTCTGAAAAGAAAAAAAGGGGTATTTTTGTTATAGTCGGCATATTACACTTTGGTTTATGTAGCTTATGCTGGCAAGAGCGAGCAGGCAGTAGCAACAAAGAAATAAATACAGTACAGTTGTTGGGTGAAAAAATTGAACTGCAGAAATAAATTCTTGACTATCCCATAGAGGCAGTCTTCACTTTGCAACAGTTTAATGCTTTCCAACAATGTCACTCATTTCCTTGAAATTATGGAGTATTTTAAAGCCCTGCAGTATTTTCTTATTGCAAATATCAGAAACGGAATCCTTTACCCATTCACTACTGTACTGGATGGTTGTTTTTTTAGTGAATTTTAGAAATAATATATGAGCTTGCACCTAACAATGGGATAAAGTTGTAGACATTGGGAAATATAAGTGCCATTTTCTCTCTCCTGCTTTTCTTTTTTCCAGCATGAGTCAGGCTTGTGGGCTCCTCTTTACATGTGGTAAAATGGAGTCATATCACATTTTATACATGAAAAAATATTGTTAAATTATTAGGAGCCATTATCATACCAACAATTTTTAAACAGTATATGCGGTGGAAATCAGTGAGGGATTCTACCTAAAAACAGAGGGTCATGGCATAATAGGGCCCACTGTGTTTTAACATCTAGCTCAGTGGGTCTCAAACTTTTTTACTGATGACCGCTTTCATATCACAAGCCTCTGAGTGTGACCCCCCCCAATAAATTAAACACACTTTTTAATATATTTAACACCATTATAAATGCTGGAGGCAAGCGGGGTTTGGGGCGGAGGTTGACAGCACACGACCCCCTATGTAATGACCTCGTGACCCCCTGAGAGGTCTCGACCCCCAGTTTGAGAATACCTGATCTAGCTTCTGTTTAGAAAACACCCCTTTTTATCACATGAATTTAATTTGGGTTTTTAAAGTACATTAGTGGTTATTTTCTTTGTTAATCTAGTACGTTTGTAGCAAGCATTACTTTAAACAGTTATGTATCAATTAAAATAAGGAATGCGTAGATTTCCTTTGTGTTTGTGGGGGGGCAAGAAATTGTATAGGATGGATATTTTTCTAAGTTTGTAACCTATTTTTGTGAGTTTAGAGGATTTGTGTCATATGTTGTTCATCAAATTGTAAAGTATTATTTCTGCTGTTTCCTTCAATATGCACATCCAGAAACAAACTAGCTAACAGCCTTCTGTAAAATTCTGGTAGCCAATCTTTCTGCCAGTTCAAATTAAGTATTTAATATTTGTGACTCACAATTTTTTTTAGAAGAGGGACTAAATCTAGTTGACTATGAATGTATAAAACCTGGAGAAAAAAGCTGAAGTGAAGAGAGTGGAAACCTGATTTACCAGAAGTGTACAATAAAGCAAGTTATATTTTTAATAAAATAATGTGTATTTGAAAAATAGTCCAAGAAGATAAGATCGTTGTCTGTTGAACGAACTATAAAGAGTGAGTGGCTCTATAGGAAATATATATTTGGTTATAAAGAAAAGCCACCCACATTTAGAATTAATTGATTAAAAGCACTGAAGATAATAAAGAAGAAACAGATGGGAACCATCATATTTGGAATCAGAAATTCAGTTTCAGTTGTAGTAGACCCCATCTGTCACCACAAGTTGCTGGACATATGTATATAGTACAATAACATTTTTGGGGGGAGAAAATCCTATTATTTTACTGATGAAAAAAATTTCTTTGTGTACTTGTTACTCTTTAATTTTAGAAATTTTGATACAGGGATATGATCTAGGTTCTTTGATGCCAGTGGAACATGCAGATGAAGCAACCTGGCTTTTTATTAGGAGAATTACTATTGTATGTGTCATAGATGTTCACAGCAATTTACAGAGATAATAAAGACATAAGGCCCCATTGAAGTTTGCCATGGTCTTCAGTGGGGCCAGGATTTCATCTGTGTAGCCTAATCCTACTCACACTGGAGTCAGTGAGAAACAGGAGTAGGTCTCCATTGCCATGTCCCAAGGAGCTTACACTTTAAACTTCCACATTTTTTACCTTTGTGTAAGGCTAGTAACCTAACTGAAGTACTGTGTTTGGGCAGGAGTGGAACGGAGACTGAATAAGCAGTTATAATACAATTCATTCCAATGGATCATATTGAAAAGTCCTGGAAATTTCACAGACTTCTGGTGCTCTCAAACTTCAGTTTAATGGCGAAACCTGAAACCTCATTCTGATGATGATGCTTTAAAAGGGTATTTAGGTTTGTCTTTCTTTTTTTCCCCTCCAGATTGCTTTTTAGCATTGTCTGATTTCACCCCCATGTTGTTTAAACAGAAACACAACTTTTCAAAAGCACATAAAATAGCCAGGCATATTCCAAAGCTCAATATGCAGATGTTATAACTTTGTAAGGGGTCTGGAGTTGATGTGGGTAAGTGACTGACATAATGATATAATAGTATGAAACTATCTGGTAATGGATTGTGCAGAGGAGGGACAAAACTCCAACTATAGCTTGCTTATAACAACAGAGGGGGAGTAGTTAATTTCTAAGCACAGTACGTGCGCAAACACACACACACACACAACCATTGAAACACAAATTGGTAGCGATAAAACAAACAGAACTAAACTCCATTTTCCTATGCAAGGGTTTAAGCTAATTTTAACATGCTTAGTGGACAAGTCTATGTTTCTGAAGTTTAAGGGTGTAATCCTACGCCCAGTGAAGTCAATGGAAGTTATGGAAGGGAAGAAGGAGGATCCTGGGAACTACAGGCCAGTCAGCCTCACTTCAGTCCTCAAAGAATCAATCCTGAAGCACTTGCATGAGAGGAAAGTGATCAGGAACAGCCAGCATGGATTCACCAAGGGAAGGTCATGCCTGACTAATCTAATCGCCTTTTATGATGAGATTACTGGTTCTGTGGATGAAGGGAAAGCAGTGGATGTATTGTTTCTTGACTTTAGCAAAGCTTTTGACACGGTCTCCCACAGTATTCTTGTCAGCAAGTCAAGGAAGTATGGGCTGGATGAATGCACTACAAGGTGGGTAGAAAGCTGGCTAGATTGTCGGGCTCAACGGGTAGTGATCAATGGCTCCATATCTAGTTGGCAGCCGGTATCAAGTGGAGTACCCCAAGGGTCGGTTCTGGGGCCGGTTTTGTTCAATATCTTCATAAATGATCTGGAGGATGGTGTGGATTGCACTCTCAGCAAATTTGCGGATGATACTAAACTGGGAGGAGTGGTAGAT